TGCTGGATGGTGAGGCTGGTTGGTGGAACTAGGTTTCAATGCCCATTGACATACATGAGAGCTGAATGGGAAGTGGGACAGACTGGACCGGTCTGCTGTACATACTGGCAAGCACAGGAACCAGAGCAGGGACTGGCCTGGGGAGTTATTAAGTGTCACCCCAACTAGGTTTCAGCTCCCACTAGCTTACATGGTCAAGGGTATGGGGTGTATGACCGTGCTGGACTGTAACACCCATTGGCTTTACATAGAGGAGAGGGCAGGAGAGAGAACTTACCCAACAACTACCCAACAATCACCACTGTGCTTGTAAGCTAATTGGTGTGACAGACTGTGCGGGCCCTTGGCAAGCACACACAAGAATCAGGTCAGGGATTGCTCCAGCCAGCAGAACCAGTACCATGGACACGGAGAGGGTCTGGGGATGAAGCACCAACAGAACGGTGATGGTGGAAGTCTGTCTGAAGTCTCCCTTTATAACTCCTTCTATATTCTTTCCCCCAAGCCTTTTAACCAAACAATAGGATGCCAGTGAGTCTGAGTACACCAGGTGCTTTTAGCCATAAGCCCATTTCCTGTTACTGCTCATCTTAATGGGTGCTTATTAACTCCTTAGCTCACAACATGTGATCACCTCAGATGAGGTTTCTCTGGACTCAGACTTCAATCAGGAGGAAAACTTCTGTTCATGGTCTAACCATGGAGTGTTTATGTTCAGAGCTAGACCTCCTCAGCAGCTTAGATGAACAGTGGTCAACATGGCCTCTTGCACATGAGGGTATAGCAGTACATTAGAAACCACAGAGGACGCCTGGTACCAGAACAGAGGTCAGAACAAATTGATCACCTTCCCATCCAAGTGCTGGCAGTGAAAATCTAGGCAAATGGAGACCCTAAGGTAGACTATGTCAGCCAGTGTATTCTAGAGAGACTTCATCCTTCTTGGAGTGGCGAGATCAGCAGCAATACAGTACTGTTGAACTCTCAAACCCACTTGAACAGTGCCCTCGGAGCAGGCCCCAAACTGGGGTCCTTAGGATAGTTGGGAAGCTGGTGTGGCTTTCCCTCTTATCTCTCCCTTCCTCAAGAACCAGAAAGGAAAAACAAGAATGTGAAAAAAATGGTGTTACCCACTTTCTAGCCCTTGACCCTAATCAACTATGTAAAACATTAAAATAAATTAAAAAAAAAAAAAAGAATGAAATGCATGAGGCAGAGTGACTTCACAGGGACAAGAGGCCAATTCTGGCTCATGGTTATGGAGATCCAAACAGCACGTTCACAAGGGCCCACTCTGTTCCACAGCAGCAGCTCCCATGTCCCACTCTACTCGTGAACCTGCCGAGACTAAACCATGGGACTACACACTCAAAGTCAGCCTGTATGAAGACACTTCACAAAGGCCTCACTTATAACACAATGTTTTGGTTAACTTTCAACCACCATTGTGCCTTAATGTGAACATTTGGGGAACTGAATGTCTGCCTTTGGAAGCACAAATTTTGAAACTATGGCAGCCACTCTAACTGCTCACAAGGCCAGAATCAATACTATGATTTATTCTCCCACTCCCAATCACATCTTCTCACCTACAGCCAGAATGATAATACTCCAGAGATCATTTTTCACTTTTTATTTGGTATGAAGACAGAGCTATCTCTCACCCACTGGTTCACTCTCCACATGTATAATGCAACAGCAGCTGTACAAGGCTGAAGACTGGAACCAGGAACTTAGTCCAGGTCTTGCACATGGGAGACTGGAACCTAACAGTTTAAGCAATCATGATGTAGTTGCATCCAGCCTGAGTCTCTTCCCCAAAAGTACATCCCAGACAACTTTTCAGAGCAGCAACATTTATTGAGGAGGCAGGTAAACACACAAACTGGTAAGGGTCAGCCGTGCTCTCCTTCAGAAAGTGACCCAGGAAGCAGGTTACAAGGGTATTTAGAGAACAAGTGAGTTAGGAGACATGGGAATCAGAGCAGTTAGGCAGCCAAGGGAACCAGGATGTGGAAAAGCATACAATACCAATTCCTGACACAAGGGCACTGGCAGGCTGTATTGCAACTTGTGCTTTGGCACAAAAACCAGGAAGCAAGCAAAACATTTTACACAGAAGCATAAAAAGCAAGTTAGTACACATGTGCAGGCCTGAGCCAAAGTGACTTCATTGTGTGACTGGATTCCACACTTTAACAGGCATCAATCTGAGTGGGAACTCTAAGAAGTAAGAGAAAACACATGGCTTCTCGCTCATGGTAATGTATAGTGATAGAGTACTGGGGTCTATCATACACAGACATGGGTGTACAATGGAACATGCATTCCTGCACCCAGACGAAACATGGATCCCAATGAAACTGTTGGACATGTGTACACAATGGGATACTGGACTGTCTGACACTGCCTGTACCAACAATGTCGAGGTACACTTAAATAAGAGACTGATAGAATTATGATTCGTTATGAAGAATTACACTATTGTAACAAAATAGGAAAAACCTGATGGGGAAGGGAAGTTGGAAGGGAATCCCAGCCTATATAAAAATGTACCACATAATTCAAAATAAAACTATTTAAAAAGAAATTTAAAAAATAAATCTACTATTTATAGGTTACATAAATAAAAACTTTGTGGTTAAAAATTTTTTTTTTAATTTAAAAAAAGAAGTAAGAGAAAAATAAAGGTTCTCAAAATGTTCTCAATCTCACTGGGGACACCAGCCTGAGCAAGGAAATACAGCTGGAGCAAATGAACCTGATAACATTATATGATGGGTAGAACTTCATCAATAAGGAAAACAAGGTCTCATGCTAAGCTTGATACAAGTGGCCACTGGTCAGTAACGATGACCGTAAATCCAACCCAGATCTGACAATGTGACATAGGCAAGCAGACCTCCTGAAAAGACCTAAGGTAAAGTACTTTTCTTTAATTCTACAGAAAATTTATATGATGTTGTATGTATATATAAACCCCAAGAAAATGTTCCCCTCCTGAGTAGTTGGAGTATCTAACATTTACTCTTCCAGTAACACTATGATAAAATTGCCCTCTTGTTGTCCATCAGCTTCATGCTTCATCATCAATAGAACAAATTCCATGGATTCCCATCTCAGCTGAATCACTTCCACAGTGTGGGTTAGCAGGAAGCTAGAATCACAAGTGGAGGCAGGACCCAAACCCTGAACCATGTGTCCTCTCCTGCTCAGAGATCTTCATGTCACGAAGCAATCACATCTCCATGCTTAAAATCAGAGTCCTTCACACTCCTGCTGCTTTGGCTTGGCTATGGTGTTCCTGTCATTGTAACCGTGGGATTTAGAACTACTAGGAGGTGATGCGTTTGACCATCATCATGATCAAACTTTCAGCACTTGAACTTGCAATTGAAAATTCTCTCTTCCTTTTCATCTGAGCTCTTTACTGCTTATTCTGATAACAGCTCTCTTCTTCCCTCAGTTACCATGTTGACACAAAGGGGGGATCCAAACCCTCATCCTCAGATTCCCTGTATTAACATACCACAGTGTGTTCATGGGCGATAGGAATATACTGAGGAGTGGAAAAGCAGCCATGTTTCCTCCATTCCAGAAAGGGAGGTACACAAAGTAGACCATTAGATTCCTTTATATTACAATCCATCAGTCATTCATTTCCATGGCAATATTTGTATGGCAAACTTTTGTCATCCAGTGAGGCAAATGTTTCCTTATAGACCTGGGAACACTATCATTCTCTTGGTCCCTCTGCTCAGACACAACCTGAATATTTAAACTCCTTTTCTTCAGAAAAAAAAAAAAAAAAATTTCAGACCCTGTACAATATCCTAGCCATTAAAATCCTTACATCTCACACATAGGGATCCCATATGGGTGCCAGTTCTAATCCACGTATCCCTGCTTCCCATCCAGTGCCCTGTTTGTGGTGTGGAAAAGCAAATGAGGACGGCCAAATGCCTTGGGACTTGCACCCATGCGGGAGACCAGGAAGAGGCTCCAGGCTCCAGGCTCCTGACTTTGAATTGGATCAGCTCCAAGCATTGTGGTCACTTGGGGAGTGAATCAGCGGATGGAAGATCTTCCGCTCTGTCTCTCTTCCTCTGTATATCTGACTTTGCAATAAAAGTAAATCTTAAAAAAAAAAATTTCATACCTTAGCTCCTTTCCTATGCAAAGTGAATTTTAAACCTATTAAATATGTGAAATAATTTTCATACCAAAAATAATTATTTCATATTACAATATGGCCTATTTAAACCAGGTCAAACAAGAGTCAATGTTCATCTTCCTCTGTCTGACACACCAACCCTCACAGCCACAGGAGCAGAAAGTCCCAGGACCATCAGGGACTCGTTTGAGTGCTTTTAGTCACAGGGAACCTGAATCCCCAGGAGTGTCACACTGAGGAATCAGAGCAGGAAGGAACCTATGGGGAGCAGGGAAGTAATGGAGACTCAGACGCTGGGGGAGCACCCTCAGCATCAGAACGCATGCTGAGCCCCACCCCTTGGGGCCTCACAGTCTCCTCCAAAGAAGGAGAATCAGCCACGGTCCCAGGGAGCCCCTCAGACCCACCCATTGGGGAGCAGATGCTCAGGGTCAGATATCCAGAATTAAGCCTGAAGTATGGGTAGAGGGGTCCAGAGAACAAAGCTTGGGGGAAGGAGAATATGTGGGATCCATCTGTCATGTTATAGAAGGAGACATCACCCTCACTGTAGTCCAGGAAGATCCCAACTCTGTGGGGCTCCCGCCTAACGGATAGAATACTTTCTTCATTAGAATAGGAATAATATCCATAGTGTCTATGCCCAACAACCCAAAATTTCTTATGTCGTGGTCTACTAATATCAACTGACCTTTCCACATTCATCTGACAGACCCCCAGAGCCCACTGACTTCTCCTGTCACCCTTGATCTCCACCTCCCAGTAACATCTTCCTGATGTGATACTCTCAAGGCCAAATACCCTGGAGTACTTCAAATCACCAAAATTTTTGTTCTTCCAGGTCACAGAGGTCCTTTCAGGAGAAACGGCAAGATTGGTAGTGGCAGAGGCTGGATCCAGAGTGACAGACCCTGCAGAGAGAATTCTCAATCAGCCAAGCCATCCCCAGCCCCATAACCAGGAGGAGGAACCACAGTGCTCTGAGAGTCAGATGTGTCCCAGAGACCTAAGAAGCTGACCAAGCTTTCTTCCACACACTCTTCATCCCCCCAATGCTGATGCTGCCAGCATCTACATCACCACAGACAAGTGAAGGAGAAGCCAGGGCCATGGGCACCACAGGAGGAGCACCCAGGGAAAACATGAAGGAACTCACAGGCCTGGAACAATTCTTTCTGCCAATCTGTAAGAGAAAACACATTTATATCACCGTCTGCACAGACTGTACATGTCAGCTCAGCACCTGCTCCTCTCAAACAGTGATGTGGGGAGAGAAGGAGAAACGTGCTGGGATACATTCAGTTCATAAACAGCTTCATACACACACACGTACATACACACAAGGCATGCCACAGCATCCTGTGAAGGACAAATATAAATCCAACATCCAGGATTGATACACTGGACTCTGCCCTCAACAGATATGCCATTACAGAAATTTCACTAACAACAGGTGCTAACAATTTCCTAGCCACAAAACCATACTGAAAGCAGATATTCATGGAATAAGTTGGAGATGTAAAATTTCAAAAACCTGCATTCATTTGCAGAACACTGTTTACGTTAAACTTCTAACTTGCGTCTAACACTTTATGATGAAGGTACCACAGATTAGGTATAACATAGAGGCTGACACTGAATGCTGTATATCTATAAACTCATCTTTCTGATGGACAGGCCATGGGTAAGATTATAAATAGTACAAACACTCATATACATTTTTTCAGAGAAATTCAGATTTTTATGTTTGTTAATTTGCCTGATTGGAACAAAATCACATGTAATGTGGGCCTGGGCCATGTGATCTCTGGAAGAAAAATGAATGCTTCACTTGCATTCGTTATCAACTTAATTGGAAGTTCTATGCCATGACTGTCACAACTGTCCAAAATAAGAGGAAGAGAAGAAAGAAAAGGAGCTTGAAATAGAATCAGGATTTACCTTTTAAAAGCATAAAATGTGAAGTAGTGTCTAATAAACATCATAATACATTTCATTTAATTTTCATAGCAAATTTTCACCAGGAACTCAGGAGGTGGAAACAGCCATCTGTCCATCTGACATATTTTATCTGACTGTGAGCAGAAGCAGAGAAGCAGAGCCCAAGAAGTCAGGTGCAAGAACAGGGTGGATTTCATGGCTCAGACTCCCACCAATGACACATCAGGTGCCATTTTGTGTTCTGAGGCCAAGTCTGTGGCAAGTGGAGGGACAACAATGAAATGTGCATGTGCTAAGCCAGAAGAGAACTCTCTTCTGCCTCAATGCATCACACTGGCCTCACTGGGAAAACAATACTGACTCAGCATGCCATGGGTTCCATCTAAAATGGGTTACAGCTTGCCCCATAGACCTAATCACCTGCATATTCTAACAAAAAGAAGAAAGAAAAAAAAAAAAAATCTCTGCAATGGCGACACTGACAACCCTGTGATCCAGGACAGGGGTTGTCTCCATAATCACATGTACAGATGAAACCAAGAGCAGAAAACAGGCTGAGCAAGCAATGGTGCAGCCACAGCATGGGATCACAATGGGTGGAGTGATGAGCCAGGAGCCAGGGCTAGAGAGACAATGGAGGAAGCACACCATGAGAGCCTGGGACTGAAACTCACTGGAAGGGGTGGTATGAGTGATTAAAAATGGAGCACGGGCCCAGCGGTGTGGCCTAGCAGCTAAAGTCCTCGCCTTGAACGCCCCAGGATAGGATATGGGCACCGGTTCTAATCCCGACAGCTCCACTTCCCATCCAGCTCCCTGTTTGCAGCCTGGGAAAGCAGTCGAGGACGGCCCAAAGCTTTGGGACCCTGCACCAGCGTGGGAGACCTGGAAGAGATTCCTGGTTTCAGGCTTCAGATCGGCGCAGCACCGGCTGTTGCGGCTCATCGGATGGAAGATCTTCCTCTCTGTCTCTCCTCCTCTCTGTATATCTGACTTTGTAATAAAAATGAATACATTTAAAAAAAAAAAAAAAGAAAAAAAACTGAGCAGGACCAGTAAAGTTGACCTATACAACAAATCTTAAAAGTGAGATCCAGGCCTGGCTTAGCAGCTAAAGTCCTAACCTTGAGTGTGTTGGGATCCCATATGGGCACTGGTTCTAATCCTGGCTGCCCTGCTTCCCATCTAAATCCCTGCTTGTGGCCTGGGAAAGCAGTTGAGGACTCCCCAAAACCCTAGGACCCTGTACCTGCATGGGAGACCTGGAGGAGGTTACAGGCCCCTGGCTTTGGATCAGCAAAGTTCTGGTCATTGCGGTCATTAGAGGAGTGAATCAACAGACAGATATTGCTCGCTATTTCTCCTCCTCTCTGTATATTTGACTTTGCAATTAAAAATAAATAAATCTTTTTTTTTTAAAGTGAGCTGCAAGAGGGGAAATACCAAAGTCTATGGAACGGTGTCATAAAATTAATTAATTAGTTTTTAAAAATACATAAAAATAAATTTTTAATGGTCCCAAAGGAAAGAATCTGTTAATCAGATTGTCATGACCAAGAGCAAAACAACAGATACAGGCACAAAGAATAAGATTTCTAGTTCCTACCCCAGAAAATAAAAAACCAAAAAATCTATGTCATCCTCAGATCTAACCAACGTGGCATTGAGGAACGGGAGATATGCAATTTTCTTAAATTATTCTACACTTCATTAAAAACATATACAAGTACACAAAGGAGACTAAGGAATTCAAAGAATGCATTACATAAGAAATAGAAACATCAATACAAACTCAAACAGAAATATTAGACCTTCAGTAGAGGGAGAGCCCAGAATGAAAGCAGAGCTGTGCTCCTGAGGAGGAGTCCCTGCTTGGGGGCCACAACATGGACAGGGAAAGCAGGGATGTGTGGTGAGCCGCTGTGAGCCTTGTACTTGACCTGTACTTGACCTGCCTTTGGCTCAAGTCCAGCGAGGCCTTAAGATGGCGCCTGGTGGAAGAGAGCACGTCAGCAGTGGTGACGTTAGTCACGCACCTCTGGCTGAATTGCGCAGACGCCTGCGCAAGCGCAGTAATACAGCGCATGGGCAGGCCCGTGATCGGCGCGTGGACTAAGCCCTTGCCCTATCCACAAGTCTCTCCAGAGGCATGATCAATACATCATCAGAAGGCTGGCCTATGAACAGCCGGTAGGGCGGAGCTGCCTTCTATAATAGTGAGAGCAAAAGGTGGGTCGGGGCCTTCCTCTTCATCATCTTGGTGTGCACAATAAAGACTACCGCGGAAGACTTCACTCGCGTCTGCCTCTTATTGCGGGTCGATAGGAGCGTGGGCGTGACAACTGGTGCCGAAACCCGGGAAATTTCGGGACCTAGAGGAAGGCCCCCCGTGCCATACGGGGAGAAGTCAGAACCGCGGCCATAAATAGGTAAGGAGCTCTGAGAGGGAGGCGTTACTGGGCTTGAGGAATTTAACCCTGAGACATGGGTGCGCAGACTTCCTTGATTAAGCCTTTACAGGCAGTTTTGAAGGCGCGCAACTTAAAGATTAATGAGCGCACACTGGAAGGCTTTATCAAAGAAGTAGACCGTCATGCGCCCTGGTATGTGGTTTCCGGATCATTGACTCCGCGGTCCTGGGAGAAACTCGGTAAAGATTTACAGAGAGCTAAGGAGCGTGACCGTTTGAGTCCGGGAGTTATGCCACTATGGAGATTGATTCGTGCATGTTTAGAAGACGACCGGTGCAAAGAAGCTGTGACTCAGGGTCGAGATTGCCTTCAATTAGCCCAAGATAGCCTCTCAGAAACAGAGCGGGAGGAGAGAGTTGGTACCAAGCTTAAACAAGAAAAGGGAGTCAAGAAAAATGAGAAAAACAATAAAAATGGCCATAGTCAAGAGAAAAAATCTTCCCTTTACCCGATATCGGAGTTAGAGAAGTTAAAAGTAGCTCCCTCTTCCTCAGATACAGAATCTTTAGACTCAGAGGAAGAGCGTAGATCAAGAAAAGATTATAATAGAAAAAGGAGAGGTGAGAAAGACTCCAGGGAACGCGAGGGCCAGGAGGGACGTTGTGGCCCCTCCTCCCGCAATGGGCGGAGCCAAGAGGCACCCGCAACTCCGGCGCCTTCAGCACCCCCCTGGGTTTTTAATAGCAGCCATTGGTATGCAGCTGCCCCTACCTTGGAAAACAGCCGAACCGGTTTGGGTTCCCCAATGGCCGCTATCCTCTGAGAAATGCCAAGCTGCTCAACAATTAGTTCAGGAACAATTACATTTGGGACATTTAGAGCCCTCTGTTTCTCCTTGGAATACTCCTATTTTTGTTATTAAAAAGAAATCAGGAAAGTGGCGTCTTTTGCATGATTTAAGAGCTGTAAATGCACAGATGCAATGTTTTGGTCCCGTTCAAAGGGGCCTCCCAGTTTTGTCATCCCTCCCTAAACACTGGCCGTTATTAGTGATTGATTTAAAGGATTGCTTTTTTTCTATACCATTAGCATTACAAGATAGGGAGAGGTTTGCTTTTACTATTCCCTCTGTTAATCATGAAGAGCCGGATAAGCGTTATCAATGGAAAGTATTGCCTCAGGGAATGGCTAATAGCCCCACCATGTGTCAGCTTTATGTTGCCCAAGTGTTACAGCCGGTACGAGACCGGTTTCCAACAGCTCGTATTGTCCATTATATGGACGATATTCTAATTTGTGCCCAAAAACAAGACCAGTTATTACAGATTTATGTTGATTTGAAGCGGGCTCTACAGAATTATGGCCTTATAGTTTCAGCCGAGAAGGTTCAAATGCAGCAGGTAAAAGCCTTTTTAGGATCTTTAATCACAGAAACATATGTTAGGCCTCAAAAGATAAGTCTTAAAATGTCTCATTTGCGAACACTGAATGATTTTCAAAAATTAGCGGGGGATATTAATTGGTTACGACCCTTCCTCAAGATCTCTTCTCAGGAGTTAAAGCCCCTGTTCGCCCTACTTGAAGGCGATTCTGATCTTGCCTCCCGACGAACACTCACACCTGAGGCACAACAGGTCTTAGTGAAAGTTCAAGAGGCCATAGAGAAGGCTCAATTAGTTCGCCTAGATCAAGATCAGCCTTTTGAACTATGTGTGTTAGCTACAGAGATTTTCCCCACTGCTGTGTTATGGCAACAAGGCCCATTGCTTTGGATTCATTCTCAGATTTCTCAGATTAAGTCTATTCAATGGTATCCATCTGCGGTCGCGTCCATAGTACTTAAGGGGTTAAAATTAGCTTTGTGTCATTTTGGGCGCTATCCAGACCGCATAATAGTCCCCTATACTGTCCAGCAATTACAAGTTTTGAGTGGATGCAGCAATGAGTGGTCCATCTTAATGTTTACCTATCAAGGAGTTTTTGATAATCATCTTCCAAAACACCCATTATTACAATTTTTACAGCGACATCCTGTGGTTTTTCCAGAGAAAACCAGCTCTCATCCTCTTACTGGTGCTTTGACAGTTTTCACTGACGGCTCCTCGACAGGAGCTGGAGCCCTGGTTGCTGAAGAGAGGATAATAACCAAGTCCTTTTCAACAGTCTCTCCTCAGAGAGTGGAATGTCATATGGTGCTTTTTGCCTTACAAACCTTTTCAGAGCCCTTGAATATTGTTTCTGATTCCCTATATGTGGTGAATGCGGTGAATGTTTTAGAGGCCGCTGGCTTTATTTCAGAGTCCGGCCCGGTGGCAGATCTTTTTAAACAAATTCAACAGGCCATTTGGCATAGAAACCACCCCTTTTATATAACCCATATTCGAGCCCATTCAGGTTTACCGGGACCACTAACTAGAGGAAATGCTCTTGCAGACGCCGCCACCAGGACTCAGGTTCTGATGATGCTTGTGTCTCCACCTTCCTCAGAGGAGAAGGCCCGCCAATTCCATTCACAGTTTCATGTTTCAGCCCAGACCCTTAGACTTCGATTTGGGATTACTAGAAAAGAGGCACGCCAGATTGTTCTTGATTGTCCTGCCTGCTGCGAATTTAGGCCTGTTCCGCATGAAGGGGTTAACCCCAGAGGATTGAGGCCTAATCAACTATGGCAGATGGACGTGACACACGTCCCCTCCTTTGGGAAAAATCAATTTGTACATGTATCTGTTGATTCCTTTTCAGGCATACTTTTTGCATCAGTACTAACTGGGGAAAAGGCTGTTCATGTAATCCAACATTGCCTAGAAGCATGGGCCGCGTGGGGTAAACCTGAATGTCTCAAAACTGATAATGGCCCTGCCTATACCTCGGTGAAATTTCATGCCTTTTGCAAACAGATGGGTGTGAAATTAATTACTGGTATCCCATATAACCCACAAGGACAAGGAATAATTGAACGCGCTCATCGCACCATTAAAGAATACATACAAAAACAGAGAACCGCCTGGGACTCATTTGGCCTCACTAGCCATAGCCCTCGGGCCACTTTGGCCCTGGCCCTTTTTACCATTAATTTTTTACAACTAGATGAGAAAGGCCTGAGCGCCGCCGATCGGCATTCCCTTCCTTCTACTAAAGAACAGTCATGGGTCAAATGGAAGGATGTATTAGAAACTAAATGGAAAGGTCCAGACCCGGTAATAAGACAAGCTCGAGGAGCTATTTGTGTGTTTCCACAGGATGCTCCAGTCCCGATTTGGGTTCCGTCACGATTGACCCGCAGCTGTCCAGGCCCGATTGAAGCAGCGCCTTCGCAAGAGGACGAAGAGGACGCCGCTGAGAATGAGAATCGTGACTCCCTTTCGGGGTAATACCCTGTTAGTGCTAGTTGGGGTGCTGCTTCTATCCAGCTTAGCCATGACTGAGCATCGTTGGGGCATTCTAACTGCCTTTCCACGGCCCCTGCCGGTCACCCATACAGCGGCTGTGTTTCCTCGCTTTTTTACCACAAATGAGACCCTTGACTTGCCATATTTGCCTATGGATATGGAAGAGGCCAATGTTACAAGCTATAATTTGGATCTGAGTGGCTCCCTATGTTTTCAGTTTTGGAGTGGCTCTGCCAGCGAGGATTATTCTTGTGTTACTTTTTCTCCACAGGCAGCTGCGTGGGTAGATCAGCCAGAGCTAACCTGGACACAGAAGCTAGATCAATGGCTTAGGCAAACTTTGTTGTCCACACAGTCGCCATCTACTGAGGCCGCTCCTTTTGCCAATGCCACCATAATTTTCGGGGCTATGCCACTCCGCCATCTTAATAGAAATCTGACGATTCCATCACAGCCAAAATGGATGCCCCGTTGTTCCACGCCCTATTCATCAAAACTTTTGAAACCATGGACCTCCTGTCAGTCCCCCATGGTTATGTGGGCCAGACGAGGCCAATATACCTTTTCTCCTGCTATGGGTACCTGGCGCAATAACTCCTATAGTGGCCTTAATTATACATATCAAAATCCAGTACAATCTATTTTTGTGAATCCCTGGCATCAGTGGCTTCTTTGTGGAATTAATGGATCCTGTACAGATTTGCAACCATTTTCAATGTTGAGAGGAGGCAAGATAATGCTTGCCAATGTTACCTGGAATTTTACGGAACCTTTTGAGACCTCGTTAAATGTTACCAAAGAATTTAGGACAGAGAGTTTTGTTTCCACTCCAGTTTGTGTGATTCCTCCGTTTTTGTTCCTGCTGTTTAAATCTACAGGCCAACCAGTGTCATCTTTGAATTGTTCTGAGAAATGGTGCAAATTGGCACAATGCTGGAATGCCACTGATGGCTGGGATGGAGCTGTTGTGATGCACATCCCGAGATGGCTTCCCTGGCCCGTGGACACCCCCACTGCTCTGACCCTATATCGCCAGAAGAGGGATTTTGGGATAACGGCTGCTCTGATAGCCGCTATTACCGTAGCTCTTGCAGCCTCCGCCACGGCGGCCGTGGCCCTTTCCACCACTGTACAGACGGCCACTGCCTTAAATAACATTTCTGCTGCTACAGCCCAAGCCTTACAAAATCAGGCCCACATTAATAGCCACCTAAAAGGGGGCCTGATGGTCTTGAATCAGAGTCGATCTGGTTCAAGACCAGGTCGACACCCTGTGGGAAGTAGCACAATTAGGCTGTCAATGGCGTCTTCCTGGCCTATGTGTGACATCGGTTCCTTTTGTTAATGGCTCACATGCTGCTAATTTGTCCAGACAACTGTCTAGTTATCTTTTAGGAAATTGGACCAAAGAGTTTGATGAACTTCAACAAGATCTGAGGATTGCGATTGTCCAGATCAATTCCACTAGAATTGACCCTTCCATAGCGGCCTCCATGACAGATTGGATCAAGACCATCGCAGCCTCTGTGAAGGAATGGGCGGGAGTGGGGGTTTTGCTCTCACTGTTGTGTGGAGGATTAGCTCTAGCCCCTTTTTGCCTTGGTGTATGAGAAAGAGGGCTGCGCGAGATCGAGTCATCATCCACCAGGCACTATTAGCCTTACAAGAGGGCGCGTCTCCTATGGCATGGTTGACCATGCTTTCGAAGGAAGACTAGCACTCAGCTTTAGCACCTCGAGCCCTTGCGGCATTGCACCGAGTTAAGTGGGTGTATTATGTCTCCTTCGAGGCCGGCCCTTGCACACTGTCGGGGTCTCTCCCATTGCACACAGTAGGGCGGCCAGCTGGTTAAACCAATGCTTATGCCTTTATAATTGACAGCCAATGACGGGTAAGGGGACAGACAATCATCCGGCCTAAGACAGGAGGTCATTGGTGCGCAACAATGATCCTTCCGGACGGGCTTCGGAGTTGTCCTGTCACAACCTAAGACAGGCGTCTCTTATAAAGAAGAAAGGGGGAGATGTGGTGAGCCGCTGTGAGCCTTGTACTTGACCTGTACTTGACCTGCCTTTGGCTCAAGTCCAGCGAGGCCTTAAGATGGCGCCTGGTGGAAGAGAGCACGTCAGCAGTGGTGACGTTAGTCACGCACCTCTGGCTGAATTGCGCAGACGCCTGCGCAAGCGCAGTAATACAGCGCATGGGCAGGCCCGTGATCGGCGCGTGGACTAAGCCCTTGCCCTATCCACAAGTCTCTCCAGAGGCATGATCAATACATCATCAGAAGGCTGGCCTATGAACAGCCGGTAGGGCGGAGCTGCCTTCTATAATAGTGAGAGCAAAAGGTGGGTCGGGGCCTTCCTCTTCATCATCTTGGTGTGCACAATAAAGACTACCGCGGAAGACTTCACTCGCGTCTGCCTCTTATTGCGGGTCGATAGGAGCGTGGGCGTGACAGGGATGCCCCTCCCATGCTGGGGAAATCCACACACAGAGGAGGGGCAGGGAAGGGCAGAGGGAGGGGAGGCAGAGGAACCATCAGCTCACTTACCAGCATACAGCTGCGCCTTCCTCCAGCCTGAAAGGAAATACATCTGTGAGACCACAGCCACCACCTGCTCAGCCCCCACCTGCCCTCTGTGCTGAGGGGAGAGACAGCAGGAGGAGGGGGGCTGCAGAGGAGTGGCCTCCTGTAGGTTAAGACATCCAGCAGAGGACTGTGGGAAGTTCCTGGGCCACAGATCAGGGAGCCTGCTCTGACCCACTGCTGTGTGACTTTTACTACAAAATTGCTGCCTGAGCCTCAGGACACAGAGACTCCTGTATTATATGTCCCTCTGTGTTGCTTGTGAGATAAAGCAGTACATGACCAGATATTTAGTGAAAATTACTATTGACTCTATATGTTCGACAATTAGTTATTACGTATCATTTCCAGAAAGTAAAAATTGAAAAAATTAAAACACAAAAAGAGAAAGTGTGCTTCCAGTGTGGTATATCAGGTTAAGCCATCACCTACAGCACGGCATTCCAATATGGGTGCAAATTCAAATCTCAGCAGAACCACTTCTGATCCAGATCCCTGCTACTCCAACTTGGAAGGCAGAAAAGAAAGGCCAAAGTGCCTGGGACCTGCAACCACATTGGAGACCAAGAAGAAGCTCCTGGTCCCTGGCTTTAGCATCAACCAGAACTAGGAAATGAACTAGCAGCTGGAAGACCTGTCTCTGTGAATTTCTTTTTTTTTTTTTTTCTATTGGAAAGGCGGATATACAAAGAGGAGAAAGAGAGAGGAAGATCTTCTGTCCGATGATTCACTCCCCAAGTGAGCACAACGGGCCGAAGCTATGCCGATCCGAAGCCAGGAGCCTCTTCCGGGTCTCCCACGCGGGTGCAGGGTCCCAAAGCCTTGGGCCGTCCTCGAGTGCCCTCCCAGGCCACAGGCAGGGAGCTGGATGGGAAGCGGGGCTGCCGGGATTAGAACCGGCACCCATATGGGATCCCGGGCGTGCAAGGCGAGGACCTTTAACCACTTGCGCCACCACGCCGGGCCCAGTCTCTGTGAATTTCACACCGCCCATTATAGCTTTCAAAATATGGAATAAATCTTAAACATACTTATAAACATGACCATGGAGAAAGAGAAAGAGGAAAGCACCACTACTTTTAACAAAGAATCATTTCCTCCAAACACTCGCTGCACCTGGTCAGCAGCCCTGTCCTCTGCCCATCCATTCACACCTGTACCTGTGCAGAACAGGACAAACTGCCTTCCCCTGGTGTTACATTGAGAAGGAAGCAGGTCACACTCCCAAGCCCAGTGTGCCATTTACTCATATCCCACCTCCCACGAAACCTAGAACATCTGTTCTTGGCTTCCTGATGCAGACCCAAGCTTGGTGCGTTGCAGGACAAGACAATAACAATACTCATATGAGGGAAAGGACAGAGTTGAAATAAAACCCTGGTGGCAGGACGAAATCTTTGGCCTAGGTTTGCACCCTGGGCTTAAAGAGAGATGGGAAACAGCTGAACAGATAGAAAAACACACTGATCCAGGATTAGCCACCCACCACTACTGCTACTGCCCCCAAGGAAGGGGTCCATATCTCTGTGCCAGGACAGAAACAAGGAGAGGGGACAGCTGGCCAGGCCTGGGACAGGAAACCACAGAACATCTGCAGAGTCACTCACCAGCCCGGAATGCTGCCTTCCTCCGATCTGAAAAGCAGCACACAGGGAACAGGTGAGCTGACAGCCACAGGATTCTCTCCAGCAAACACAGAGCTCAGGAGAGAGAGCAGAGCTTACCGAGTTCTGCCTGGAGCTCATCTGAAAGAGAGTGGAAATGCCATGAACGCCACACCAGGAAGAGCAGAGACCGTGTGCTTAAGACCCCACACAAAAGCCCTCTGCTCTGTGCTATACACAGCTCTCACTCCAGACCCACCACACCTCCACACGCCCCGCTCTGCTCTGAGTCTCCACAACCACCTGCTCTGGGCTGGGGTCCTGGATGTCCTCCGAGAGCTGCACCCATGGACTCCAGTCATGTCAGGCTGTCCCCTCTATGCACCAAGTGCTGCCCCTGCCCTTCTGAAACCTTCCTCCCTACCTCTGGATTTCAGCGCCTCCTCCTTCGCGTGCTGCTCCTCCTCCTTAGCCCGGCACAGACCCTTCTGTCTCTGCCTCTCCTGCACCTTTGCAGAATGTTCTCTCTTGGTGACCCAGCCAGCTCCAACAAGTAGCAGCCCCAGCACAGTCAGGCTCACAGCGAAAGCTGCCTTCCAGGAAAAGGCCTGAGGAAAGAAGGGCTCTGTGCCCAGTGGAAGAGCAAGTCAGGGGAGGACCCAAGCCCAACCAGCACACCCAGGGACACCACCCTCTCCAACCCTGCTCTAAAGAACAGACAGCACTGACCTGGGATGGGAATGGCCATGACCTTCTCCTGGCCCAGGATGGGATTGAGGATGCAGCAGGTCACGTCCCCTGCAGAGCTGTCTTTCACCACCAGAGCAGCCTCCACGCTGAACAGCCCTGCTGCATCTTTGGTGTGGGTCTCAGAGAACTCCAGAAACCTCTCCCCACGGACATCTCTCCACTGCACCTGGGGCTTCGGGAACCACCCTGAGGCCTTGCACACCACACGGACTCCATCCTTCTCTGGCCCTTCAATATGCACTTGTGGGGCAGAGCCTAGGCCTGTAAGAGGGGAGCTGTGGAGGTCTTGGGGAACCGTAGGGAACCCACAGTTTCAGCAAGGTTCTAGTGTTGCCCACATTCACAGAGAGCCATGCATTCTTGGACTCCATCAGAAGGGCATGCCCTGAAGGAGGCCAAGAGCCCTGGGATCATGGGAGGGACAGGCTGAGGGGGCATTTATGACTCAGGATCTTAATAATGAAGGTATTGGGTCCCAGGATTCTCCCTGATTCTATACTCTTCTCACCTGACACTCACCTAGGCATTTGCTTCTACACACACTGCCTCTTGGAAATCACCAATTAACTCCAGTCAAGTCAGGCTGTCCCCACTCCCCAGCTCCCTTCCTTATATCCATGCATCTGTGTGTTATCTCAACCAGATTGCCTTACAAACATTTGAAACTCAAACGTTGAGCACTGAATTCACAATTTTGACAGTTTGGGGATGAACTAATTATAAAGCACCACTTAAAGCTTATCCTTCTTTATGCTAAGCTAGTGCTTTGCCATGTGCTTTGTAATTCATTAACGCTCAGATATTCATCATGTCACTCATTTTGGCCAATAAAAAACTAGATAATATAGCTTAAGCAGAGGCTGGGAATGTTCTTGTGTTATTGGTTTACTCTCAGCCATTTCCACAAGAACGACATCCCTGGCAGAGGCCCTGGAGGACAAGATTGTTGGGATGTCACTGGTCACCCAGACGCTCTGGTTGAGGATGCCCTAGGAGAGCCAACAGTCATCTGACCAACAGAAATGTGAGCACACAGAGCCCATGGTCACCCTGTGACCTCTTCAGCTGATGGAAAGGACAAACAGCACTTAGAGTAAGATTTCAGTCTCCCTGTTGTAAATAAGATAAGAAATTCCCTATTTTCTTTTCTGGAACTGTTCAAGTTAGATCACTGGGAACTGTAAGCACCTCTCCTTGCATGGAATATGAAGGTATCTTTTTACAAACTAGACAGGCCTTTTGATGGCTAAATGACCCAGGAATGTCTTTCACTGCCCAGGAGACAGCATGCTGAAATGACACCATCAAAGGATTCAGCTTCCCTCTTCCCCTTTCTGTGCAAGCATCAGGGCCTCATTAAGTTGAAAAACCACCTTCTAGTATAGAATGGAAGAAGTTAAGATCTTCTCCAGATAAAAGCAATTAGCCATTACAATTACCAGGTAAATTTCAAGTGAGTTACATGTGAAATTTAGTGCTTCAAGTCTTGTTATTGGTGGATTAATTGTGGTTTGTTTCTAAAACTGTGTATGAGGTTGTTGCAGCAGGTAAAGTAATGCTGGGGATGGCCACATCCAAATCTAAGTGCTGGGTTCGAGTTCCACCTGTATTCAATAAGCTTCCTCCTGATGGGAACATTCTAAGCCATTGATTCAACAATCGATACTTCTGACTGCTCTGGACCCAAGCAATAGGCCCCATTGCTTCAGAAACAGAAGCAAGGTAGCCTAATGAGAACCACCAAGGGCCCAGCATCCTGCGGCCACATTAGTGGCTACAATCATTTTATCTGTCACAATTTTGATGGCACTGCAGGTTTTCATTGAGCTTTAGTGCTAGGATATCTCTGCAAGCCATGTACCAAGGACCCAGCACATTCACCTACAGGAGGTAAAGGGCCAGAGAGACCTGGTATAGAGGGAGAGGCAGCTGAGCATCCGCACAATGGCTGTCCGTTGGTTCCATGCTGGACCATGCAGAAGTCCACGCCACCACACATCAAGTACACATACTCAGAGAAGGTCACTGGTCCTTATGAAATCACAGAGAGCTAGCTGACCATGAACTCAGCCAGAATACAGCCCAGCGCCCTCCAGGCCCAAATGAGGCAGACAAGAAGACCAAGGTCACAAGACACTAAACAGAGTTGGCCCTCAGCATGATGGCTGGTACACTCCAGGGTCTCTCTATTCCGTAAAGATATCTGCTTCTTCCCTCCTTGGGTTCATTGTGTCAAACAAAGAACCAGCCAGAGTAAGACAAATAAAACCTATATTAAGGGTTTCAAATGCATATTGTACCTGCTTGTCTACACACACACACAAAAAAAAAAGAAATCTTCACAAGGATTGATGGAGTTCCTGTACTGTGCAATGTGTTCAGGTTTGATTCTCAGCAAAGTGTTGTCTTCCTCTAGTACCTCTGCTGGCAGGATTTCTTGGAAACAATCATGGTTTTGGTATCACTCCCACAACAAGGCCAAAAATGTGTGAGTTACACAAATGATTTTAGCCAAGCCCAACTCAGGTTGCTTAAATCCCTCGGTGCCTATATTGAATTCTGCAATATGCCACTGAATTTTCCTGTCTGTTCCTTACACAGTATTATCATAGGAAGCTTCCTTGACACATAATGGCCAACATTCCCACCACTAAGAACAAGCAGCCAGGGCAAACCCTGACAGTCCCTGCAGTCCCCACCTCCCCCTCTGAACTCTCTGTCTGCAATGAACTCATGAATTAGGTCAGACTACTAAAAATCCCCCATGGCTGACCCTGCTCTCCCAACCCATGCTGCTGCCTGAGGTCACACACTGGTCCTCTCCACCCCAGACTGCCCTCCATGGCCCCTCACTCACTTTCCATTCCACATCCTCACAGCCACCAAATGGAGTCTTCCAACCACTAAACGGTTCAAATTTCTCTATTCTTCATCCACACTCCCAGCACAGCACACACAACTGCAGCCATCTGACATCTGCCTCACACTCAAAACCCCTTCCCTCTGCCTCCTGCTCAGACACCACAATTTGCTCCACAGGACCCACACACACTGACACAAGGACTCTTTGAATCACTGTGGATGTCTGTGGACATAGTGAGATACATTCCTCTGACTTGTCACTTTCAATCCATAGAGGATCCCAGGATTTTCACTGCAGTACTCATGTGTCAGCACAAGAGCACAAGTGCCTATGACAAATGATCTTTTCCTGGTCAGTGGACACCGTTACTCCAGGAGTATCTAGCTCCTTGTTGCAATATTGTCACTGCACAGTCACATTGCCATCCCCCATTATTACTGCTACTCACACAACACAATGGCCTCCCAGTATGCCCAGAACATGCCAGACATCTCCTGTACCAAAGGTTTCATACTGAATGCCTCCCTACTTTGAAGCTGATTCTGCCCCCCTCACCCAAATATCCAATTAGGGAGATAGCAGCTTCCTTTGAGTCATGCTGAGATCAACACTGAGGCCTCATCTGAACCCACAGACTGCCCTGGCTCCACTGCCCACTGCCAGATTCCCTCCACATGTTGCTCTTTTTTGTTATGTTTAGCACCTAACACATTCTGACAACATCAAACTATTCACTTATTTTCCCTTTTTCTTTCAGCCTCTGGATCATAAACTCCACAGGGTCCCTGGAATCCAAAGCATGGCATACAAAATCTACGTTCTTCTCGTGGAAAGTTTATACTGAATAAGTGTATGAACGAATGAATGAACTGCCTTTCCCTCGTATGTGAAATGAGATGCTGAATTTCATGGGTTTCCTCCCAAATCCAGTATCTCCAATGTTTCAAGATTACAAATCAAGTTACCAACCTGCCACCTGAAGGTCTAAAATGGCCTCTTCATATTGTCCTCCTTGCTTGAAGTAGCAGGCATACTTGCCATTGTCTGAAACCTGTATGTTCTGGATGTGCACAGCAGCCTCACCCTGAGAGAGGAAATCCCTGACCAGTGAGGTCCGCCCTGCATACTGGGGCAGCTGCTCCTCGTCCAGCTCCTGGCCATTCTGATAGACGAGCACTGCTTTTGTGAATGTGGAACGGACCCACCGCAGCTCCATGTCTTCTGCATTCATGGGTGGCAACAGGGAGCAGGGCAGAATGGCATCACCACCCAACACCGCCACTATGGGGTCAGTGGGGCCAATCACCTGGAACACATCTGTAGGCACAGACACAGGACTGAGAACAGGGAACACATGGGCCAAGCCCATAAAGATCCATGGGCACTTGTCAACATCCCTCACACTCCCCTGATGGTCAGTGACTCTTCTTAAATGAGAAAGAATAGTCAGGGTTGGGGAGTGCCATCCTGTACCCAGACTTGAGCCACACACCTCACCCCATCCTGGCAGAGAACACCAGGGGCTCCCCCACCCCAGGGAGACCAAGAGAAGAATGGGGACACACTCACCTGCAGAGCCCCACGTGGGCAGCTGCACCAGGAGAAGCAGGGAGGAGAGACTGCAGAGCAGAGAGGGGCGGCTGCCACATTCCATGTCATCAGAGGACAGGCAAGGAGGAAGCACTGGGCAGGAAGGAGGCAGGTCCAGCACAGAGGGCAGCTTCTAGATGGGGACGGCAGGGCCAGGGTCACCCCATCAGCCCTCACAGATGACAGCATCCCCTATAGGATCCTCATGCCAGCCGTGTGGGGCTCACAGCACCCTGACAGCAGAGGAGCATCAGAGACAGGTCCCTTCCTCATGGAGCCCATGTGCTCATCACAGGTACACAACAACCTCTCTGACATATAGGCTTTGAAGTCATCTCAAATAAAATCCCAATCGGCCCCTTCCTTTATTTCCACAAGATATGTTCTACATTCAGCAGGACCCCATGGAATTCACACTGAAAGGTATGAAAATTTCTCCATGAGCATCTAAAGATCCTATGGTGAGGCCACAGAGAAAAGGACATGAGCCTTGGTCAGAACAAATCTTACCTATTGTTTGTAAAAGGAAGCAGGAAATGGCAGCCTTGATCCTGGAAAGGAAAAATTCAAGGGTCCTTGGGCTGGACTTCCTAAAGCTTACATGTTCTCAGTCCGACAGCTTCAGCCATGGTCCTTGGCCTTCCTAAATTCAGTTTTCCTATCTGCCTCATCCATAATGCAGTGAGAGTTACATGACTTTGTATCTGTACAAACACTATGAGAGGTTAAAACCTGGCCTGGTCATAGTACATATTTGAGAAATACGATTAAAAGTAATGAAATAAGGCACTAGGATCAGCAACGTTTTCCTGGTCTTCCTGGAGTGAAACTTATCCAGCCGCCCTCCTTCACCCTGTGCCTCTCAACACACTGAGCCTCCTCACAGTTAGCTACTCCATGCCTCCTCCCCCTCAGGTGTCCTCATGCCAGCTTACCTGCTTCTCTTTGTCCTCAATGTGAACAGCTGTGACTTCCTGCAGGGTCTCTAAACAGCAAATTCAGAGACCCCAGCAGTCCACACCTCCAAACTTCCACCTGCCCTGTACTGCTCTCAGAGCCACTGGGTCCTCTGCCAGGTCCACTTCTGGGCCCAGGGCAGCTACTCCCAGGAGACATTGGGCTCCCAGGAGACCAGAAAAGCACAGTGGGCACAGCTGCAGCAGCTTCTGCAGAGCCCTGACCCCAGGACCACTACACCCTCCCAGCCACAAGCACCAACGTCTCTCTGGTCCCTGGCACCATCGAAAGTGAAAGCTACCCCGGCAGCCCGGGCAGGGACCTTGCTCCCTGCTCTCAGCATGAACAGTGACATGCAAAATCCTATAACTGCCCAGGGAGTGGCAGCAGCACAGCCCCCCACAGTTCCAGCCACTCCTCAGCCCCTCCTCTCAGTCACCACCTACCCAGCCCATCAGGGAGTTTTTCCATAGCCTAGAGATGCTAAAGAAGCAGTTAGATTTTACTCAGTGTGTATTAGTGTCAGGATCTAAGCTACACACATTAGCTTCCTGCCACCGTTTTTTTTTTTTTTTCAAAGATTTATTTCTTCTTATTGCAAAGTCAGATATACAGAGAGAAGGAGAGACAGAGAAAAAGATCTTCCGTCTGATGATGCACTCCCCAAATGACCACAATCATCGGAGCTAAGCCGATCCAAAACCAGAAGGTTCTTCAAGGGTGGGAGACTCGTTTCCCAGACCACAAGCAGGGAACCGGATGGGAAGCAGGACTGCTGGGATTAGAACTGGTGCTCATATAGCATCACAAGCTATTCAAGGCAATGACTTTAGCTGTTAGGCCACCATACCAGACTAAACCTCTTTTTTTTAAGGTGTTGTTGTTGTTGTTGTTTTAAGTCATTTATACAGAGAGGTTGAGAGACAGACAGGAAGACCTTCTGTCTGATGATTCACTTCCCAGGTGGCTGGAGCAGCCAGACCTGAGTCCATCCGAAGCCAGGAGCCTCTTCCGGGTTTCCCACAGGGGTGCAGGGTCCCAAGGCTTTGGCCCATCTATGACTGGTTTCCCAGGCCACAAACAGGGAGCTCAACGGGAAGCAGGGACGCCAGGATTAGAACCGGTGACCACATGGGATCTGGGCACGTACAAAGTGAAGACTTCAACCACTAGGTTACTGAGACAGGCCCCCTGCCACTTTCTTGTCACAACTATAAACAGGGTCGAACCCAAGTCCTGCCTTGTCCAGATCCAGAAACTTCCCAGAGGAAGCAGGAGGGAGAGCTTCAGGGAGACTGCACCCTCCAATGTCCCCAGCTCTCCCTCCCAGCCCAACCCAGCCCCATTTCCAAAAAACTCAAACTAAGAAAGATCTGGCAAAAGGACACAGACTCTCAGGAACTCCACTTGACATTACTGGAAGCTTCTCTCACCCTGCAGCATAGCACAGACCTTTTCCCTGCTTATCAGAGGGAGTGCCCAGCCCAGGGCAATTTCTGCAAAACACACCCACAGAGCCCTGTGAGCTGGGGAGGAGGCAACAGACAGCAATCCCCCTCCCAGCTCCTCAGGACCCAGGCCCAGTAGCTGTAACCTGATCGTGTTCACTGAACCACCAATGATTTCCCCCTGAAACAGAAATGATCCTAATAGTGTTGGAGTTAACATGTTGCTTCTGTGTTAAAGGCAGGTCATACCTGTAGTAGTTCTAGTACTCTCAAATTAGTTTTGAAAAGTGTCTCAGCCATAAAATGAGAGACAACACAAAGTATATTAAACGTGTTACTATTTTAATATACGACAGATGGAGCTGCTGCTGTGACATACTGGATTAAGCTGCAGCCCGAGACACCTTCTTCCCATCAGGGGACGTACTGAAGTCCCAGCTGTTCCAATTTTGTTCCAGCTCCCTGCTAATGCACCTGAGAAAGCAGAAGATGACCCCCACTGGAGACCTGGAGGAAGCCCCTAGCTCCTGGCTTTAGATCAGATCAGCTATAGCCATTGTGAATCAACTGATGGAAGATCTTTCTCTCTGTCTCTTCTCTGTGTAAATCTGTCTTTCCAAAAAATCAAATAAATCTTTTTTTTTAAAAAAATATTATTTTCCAGTTGCTCATTTTCCAGAAACAAACAAAAAATAAAACATACTAGCTCACGTGTAAGCACACACACACACACACACAGAAGGGTGGTATTTTTTTTTTTCTACTTTGTAAAGTTTTTCTTTGAACCAGGCTAATGGGCAGAGCTGTGGCCTGACAATCTGCTGAGCAGAGCCGCAGGGGACATTTCCTCCTTCTGGGCCTGTCAGTCTGAACCTCATGGGGCAGAGCCGTCCCAGGCCAGGCTGTCACCCCTATAATGATACAACCCCAGCTCAGAATCAGTCTTCTGCTCCCTCTCCCTCCCAAGGACCAGGGTCTGCCCAGCCCCAACCAGACGTCAGCCACAGAGTCCTCCTGGCCTAGGACCCCTGCTGCCCAGCCTTGCTCTGAATGGACCCCCACCCACTGCCAAGCCTGAGTCCAGAGGAGATGGAGAGATCTCGCTCTCCTCCAGCCCCTGAGATGCATAAGGGGCGTCAGAACATTCATGGAAATAGAATCAGAAGATGAGCTGACTTTGGTGCAAAAATGTTATAATTTAATTTCATAGAATGTATTTATCACAAGTTATAGTAGTGTCCTAATACACAGAAAAAAATTAGTTCTGATAAAAATAATCATAGAGAAAAATATTAAATTTAATTAGCCTAGTAAGTAGGTAAAAATAAAAAATTTGAAAGGAGAAAAAGCAGACAGAAAGTGAAAATGAGAAAATAGTGTAAAGGAAGGAAAAAGAAAGGCAAATAGGGGAATAAGAAAAATAGTCCAAACATACCTGGGGTGGAGAGCCCCAGGAGATACCCACTCCCTAGGCACCACCTGCCAATGGCTGAGTCCCAGAGGGTCAGCGCCTATCCTGCCCAGATGGGCAGCCCAGGAAGTGATCACAGAGGAATCCACTACAGAGAGTCACACACACTTCCCAAGGTCCTCGTAGGTTAGAAAACTTCTTGACAAGTCATGGTGGAGTCCAACTTTGGCCTCTCCCAAGAGAAAAGGTGGGGGAGAAGGCTGGAGCAGCAGAGAGAGAATGGGGGAAGTGCCTAGAACAGCAGAGTCAGGAAGGGCCAGGATAGGCCAGGAGATAATCCTGCTGATGCAGGTTGTACCCTTGTTCCTCTCCCAGGCAGACCTGTTGGCTTTGCCCTGGGGAGACGACTGCTGTGACCAGCAGCACATCCTGGGCTTCTGTCCCTCTGAGTGAGTCAGACATCTTTTCTGCTTCACACCACTGTTTGGTACTTCTGGCTGTTCTCGCCTCAGAACTGAGACAATGTTAGCAATAGGAGGAAACACACCCAGGTCAAACCCCAACAGCGGCCACATCTGACCCAAAGTTCCCCTGAGTGCCCAGTGAGGCCATGTTGGAGCA